GGTCGGGACTCCATCGGAAAGCCACCAGAGAAGCTCTGGTGGCTCATCTTCCTCCTGCAAATCAGATCGGTCTAACCAGACCGATCTGGTTCCTATTCTTAACCGGTGCTGCTCCGGCGACGATCCGACGTCGCCGGACCTTCCTTGGTGTCCTCTGGTGGTTGACGTCCGTCCTTGGTGAGCTGAGATCCCTCGGAGCGCCTCGTACATCGATCGACACAAATCGATATCGATTGATCGTGTTTTCGCACGACAACAAAAGGTAATTTCTCGGTCTCGAATCTGACGAGGCGAGGTTGGAATAGCCAACCGGGGCCAGGATTCAATCATAGGTATCCTTATATGCCTAAAATCACTGATTAGATGTTGATTAGTGAGATAGAGGTGCTCTGATTGATGAATGATTGCATAAGAATGTTCTGTCAATTTCGTTGCTCTCTGAACACAGATTCTGTTAGCGCTGAAACGAGGTCTTAAACGTTGAAATCATGCTTCGAGTCCTTCTAGACATTTGATCTATACTTCCTAAGCTTCGATTCGACATATTATGCGTCCAAAACGAAGTTCGTTTACTATCTCAAAATCCCTTCGAAATCTTGGCTCTCTGTTCTGCAATATGTTTCTGCAATATGTTTAAATCTGTTGTTGAATGTCTGATTGTTTTGCTGATTTTATGCCGATTTTTGTGAGTTGATTTTGGTGATCTTTCCTTCACGAAAATTGTTCATTAGGATCTCAATCATGACATACTTTTTTCTCAGATTTTTAGGAGTTCATTCAATAGGTGAAAATTCCTTAATTCAACCCTAAGTCTTGTCTGCCTATACTGGAATCCGAAATGGACTTGTTCAAACATCTTCGTTTGAGTTTGAAATCGACATTTTCTGGCTTAGAGTCCTTAACGAAGTTTGTAAAGCACTCAAATCAGTCTTTAAAATGCTAAAGATATCCCTGATCAGAGTTCATTTGGTACCTGAAATCGATTTTCAAAGTTGCAGCAAGAGTAAATTGGTTTTCTGCTGTAACCGAATTGAAACTATACGTTTTACTATTTTGTACAGAACAGGGAAAATTGATTTTCGAGTTGCATCCTTCCGTGAACTTGTAAATTCAGGTCTCATGCATGTCATATATTTTTTTTAGAATTTTTAGACAACATTTGGTACCTGAAATCATCTCATATTCTCAGGTTGTTCCATCTGCCCTGTACTGATCCGAATTGCATTCCTACAAAATTCATTGTGAAATTGGACTTAATTGTTCAAGTGACCTTCATGGACATCATAGAGCATCATGTTAACTCACTAGTGACACTCTCCATGCATCAATTGCTCGTCATTAGTGTGTTTAATCAACTGAAATTCCTTAACCCCTAAATCTGTCAATTAGGGATTAGGTTGTTCATGTAGCACTCTTGCCAATTTTATAGGAATTTTTCTGTTCACAATTAGAATATGAAGTCATCTAGACTTTTGTAAAGGGCTATTCAAGCTTCACATTGACGTATTACATGTATGTTTTGCATGTCATTTGGTAGGTTAAAATCATACACAAACATACTACCACGTTCTGTCATATTGCATTTCATGCATCATGAACATTAATTCATGCCTAATAATTCATGGACTTGTATGGTCATTTGCTCATGTAATTAGGATTAGATTACTACATCCTCTTTATCATTGCATCTAGTCCTAATCCATGTTAAATTTTCATACATTTCATGCATCATTTTAGTTCATCTTTGCCATCCATAAAATGTCTTTGATACTAGTTAATGCATTGGCATGCTTTCATGAAAATCAAACCTAAATTTGGACTTAATCAGGTTCATGCCCTCTTGGTAAGTCGTCATACATGTTATGAAACTTCCATAGACACAAGGAACATGTCATTTGCTTGCCATTTAGGACATTTTTCATTTTTTCTACAAGTTTGCATTAGGATTAGCAACTTGCAAATTCGGAACCCCTGTTCTGTCCAATGTAAGTCAGACCTCTTGTTGATTTTTTATCGATTTTTCTACAAATAATCAGACGTCAGACCCCTAATGAAAGTTGTAGGACACTCTTTGAACTATCTTGTGTCAAAATTCCAGAATTTTTGAACAACAAATGATAGGGCAAATGGCCTCATCTTTGCAACAAAAACTGCAGTAATCCTCTTTTTCTGACACATTTAATCGTGTTCCCAAATTTTTATAAAATCATGTGAACATTTTTCGGGAAAACTTTCGCTACGAAAGTTGTTCCTCATTGTATGCTTAAGCTACCATAAATTTTCCAGAACTTTTTAATCATGGGTCCTTTTCCAATTGAATACATTTTGTATCCCTGTTCTGCTGTTTTTTTTTTCTTTCTCTTAATAAATTGATGCATGATGAATGGAATGAAGTGACCCGATGTCGGTTCACTAAATTGAGTGATTGGATGAGAATCAAGGTCTTTGTGACTTACTTGCATGCTTATTTTAGGCTTGATGCATGTGCTTTCTAGATGTATGATAAGAACCAATGTATGCTCGAGGGGATATCCATGGCTTCACATAGAACCCCAATTAGGGACTATGTCACATTAGTCACTATAAACGAACGTGCTTGGTGGCTAATGTACATAAGTCATCATTAAAATGGAGTGGGTAGGTCGTTAGATGAGGACAACGTATGTTTAAATCAAAGGCCGATCTCGAGGCCATTGTTGTGATTACATTTGCATCTTTGTATCTTCTTGCATATTTCGTTCTCTTATATGGACAATTATTGTGTGTTTTGTGAATATTATGATGTTCATTTCCCTTGTATGTACCTAGTCTAGTTTAGCTTTGGAATTAGAATAGGTCCAAGAAGACGGCGGAGGTTGATGTCCGTTCCGACCCAATTCCTTGTGTACGGTGCTGGTCGATGTCCTCTCCGACCATTTCGATTGTAAAAATTCATTCATTACCCGACATATGTCTCGGGCTTTCAATTCTTGTTGTAATAAACACTCGACGAATTGCGGGTTTTATTTTGTTACACTTAGAATTGGCTTTGTCTTTTCAATATCTTGGTTGTTTACTTTACGCACTTTTTTAATACAATTGTTTGTTTATTTCTTTTCTAGACTAAGATAGAATTAGCTTAGAATTTTAAATGAAAACACAAAAAACAAGATGCATGATCACATAGTGGACTAAGACTTTGGCATGAAAATGGTAAAAAATAAATACATGACAACTTAGATAACAATCATGATAAGTTTAGCGGTACCGAAAGGGCGTTAATAGAAATATTAATGTAAACTAGTCCCCGAACTCATGATCTTTGGTTTTTGTAGAAATCGAAACGAAATTTTCGCGTTTCGGTTGGGTATTCTAACCGACCCTCGACCTAGGCTAGTGGCGACTCCTAAAAAATAATAATAATCGATTCGCTGTCACGCGAGGTATGGATTTAGGGAAAATTCACATTCATGATCAATGGACCATATGGATGACCAAAAGATTTATGCTTGTCTTTTATGATGTGCCAAACAGACCGTATGGATGACTAAAAAAGATTGGCGCTTTGGTAAGCCGTCTTTTCTAATGTGCCATGCGGACCGTCGTATGGATGATTAAAAGATCGATGCTTCGGTAAAGCTATATTTTATGATGTGCCATATGGACCGTTTCATGAACACTTATCTCTAAACCGGCCTTATCGAGTTTTGGCTCTCGTGAGGTAGGTCGCGACAATGAGGTGACTTCTTCTATGGACCTAAAGTGAGGTTTTGATCAGCTTGTCAATGTTGCCAGGAAAAAGCTTGTACTCCTGGTGGGGAAACCATTGGTCATTACCTGAAAGATCGTATGCTGCCTATATTAATGGCATGGCTAGAGAAAATGAATGGAATAAGCAAACGTCTCAAATTGCAAAATATCATTTACGGTTCACATGCTCATCAAATTTTGAATTTCTCATAGCATAGACCGAATATAGCACGAAATTTGCAAAGAAGATTTACCACAGAATGGGTAACTAAGATCCCATATCAATATCGAAAATAAGTAACCAAAAGAATCAAATCCCCGAACTCACCCACAAATCTTGAAATGTGAGAAGTATACATGTAATTGCATCAAGATTATGCACTGATTAGATTCTAAACGTATATGCATTCGCCCTGATACCACATGTAAGAAATTCAAATATCTAAAACTCGTATTTTGCACTTAGAATACCTAACCTTAAAACACATACCTAATTTAGCCACTCATTGTCTTTGAACTGATTAATACGAATTAAGCCATACAATACGAGGACTATGTCTTCCTGTCCTTCTCTTCCCCTAGAAGGTCTCTGACGGATAAACAGTAAGCATATGGAATTAAGAGGGAAAGGAGACCATAGTTTATGTATGTAGCATATTCTAATTGGCTCATCTATCACAGGTCAATGTTAAAATATCGACCTACACCAACCAGCGGATCACATTATTATCGTAACTGAGATGTGCTAAATCTGATAATGTAATCACAACCGTATTTGGGCGATATAGCATTCTCATATATTTTATGAACTTATAACAGCCTATTTTTCCCTAACTAAAATATTATACGATTAACGCTAGCCCCGTGTTTTACAAATTTCTAACAGATTGTGGTCCAAAATTACCATCTTCTTATTCGTTTTAGAATGGGGGTCTTTCAAGCAAATGCTTTGACACTTTCTAATGTTTTACTAGATTTGGCTATAATATAATCATTACTAGCCTAAAAGAAAACTCAAATTTCGACACTTTATTATCGGAAGAAAAGAGGTCACTCGTTTATGATTGAACAATAATGAAAGCACATTTAGGGAAGAAGCAACCAAAACACTGATCAAATCACAGAGATTTTCTTACAATAATATGCTAGGCGAAGTCAACAATGTTCATGACAATACTCTACAATATTATAAATTGAAATACTTAGATCATAATTGGTATAACCACAAAGCTTAAATCCAGTCAACACAATTTTTTGCCCAAATGTGAATCACATGTAAATCATTTACCTCTTTTATCATTATTAGGGATAGCACATGATATAGTCCAGAACTATGAAGCTCAGACACATTAATAGCATGCCTGGAGTTACCTCAAAGTTTGAAAACTCAAAAAATTAGGCTAGATTACAGAATATGTGTGATGACAAAAAACTTAGCATAAAAAAAGTGATGCCTACACACGGTTATGGCGTAAATTATCTTAAACATCTGGCAAACAAGTTCAATCATGAAATGGACTTTGATCACAGTTCCTTTAGTAAAACACATGAACATCCGAGCAAAAACTGATATGCACATGCACTATGCTTCCTTTCTGGGGTCCCTTGATGAAAATCTGCAAATTGGGAAAGTAGTAAACGGCACATGCATTGTTAATCAGAGTGCACTAAATCATCTGAAGACACTTTATAGAATGCTAGATGTTTAACTATATCCTCTGACCATATATTAGAATGCTAATCACTATAAATTACTGTTTGGGAGTATTTGGCCGATGGGGGCATATTAGTCTATTTCCTTTATTATTTAATGTATGGCGGCAATAAGGGCGATATTGTAATTGTAATTGTAATTTTGGCTTTTTTGCTTTATTATAAATAGATAGCTTGCGGTCACATTGACCTAAGCCAAGCATTCAGTTAAGTTTTTTTGTCTCTGAACATGGTATCGAGCCGGGCTAACTCGAAACCCTAACGAGTGTCTTCTCCGCACAACCTTTCTTTTCTCTCCTCTCTCCTCTCACCTTCACCCTCCACCTATCAGCTTAAGCTTTTGGGTTGGATCAACTTGTTGATGTCACCATGCAGACCACTTGTTATATGCATGAGTAACTGATGATCATTCAATATGCAGCAGAGGTGCATCATAATACTATACATGGTGTACGTGATATTCATAAAAGGAAGGATTCAATCGTTCGAAGGTCTTACCTAGTTGTGCAAAGGCATGAGAGGATTCAACAGGAAGAATCAATGCATGCAGATTGAATAAGCAGCCTGATGATTAACCCATGGCATGTGCGGCTTTGGAGCTGAACATCAAATAGAAGCGTTCAGCATATCTATAAAATACTTAAAACAAATCATAGATTCACAATGTCATTAACGGCAAATGAACGGAAAAGGAGGGGAAGAAAGGTGAAGAGAAATGACATCCATGTAACATGTTTCTACAAAACAGAGAAGAAACATGAAACCAAATTGATTTTATCATTGCAAAGACATTATTCCAAGGCCATTTTTTCTATATGTAAATTGTTTCCGAAGTGTACTAATTATTTCAGAGGCATGAAAAGGTTGTGCTCTGTCAGTCCCTTGAAATATTTGCAACTAGAGAGCTCAAATTGGTGAATTGCTGGAGTAATAACTGTATATTTTTAGTAATTCAAGATAGGGATCAAGTAAGAAGATATTTATCTCAAACGAGTCTAACCAATGGATCCTCAACTATGAAGATGCTGCACTTCGTCTTTTTTCTTAACCAAGGACATGAAGTTTTATTTCTCAAATGGCAATCTGGTTAAAAATACCCAGTCTAGAGGAAACCTACATAGGATTAGCCGGGCATCTGAAATCTGGCCAAACAAATTGATTGGGAATCTGAAACTCTACCTTTTGTTTCCTGGGCAAATTTTACACCTATTTATAGCAACCATTATATGGCTGAACACCAGTCCACTCAAGCAACTATACTTAGTGTCGGTCTGGAGAAAACTTCTGAATGGGTTCTAATCCAACCAATGGCCTGCTAGTTCTATGATTGCAATTTCATTAACCCAGCTACAATTCTTTCTCTAGCTGGTTGGAAGAATTGATTGAAAGGTAGAAATAGAAAGAGGCTTCCAGAATTCTTCTTAAACAATATGGAAATGGATGAGTGATAGGAAGACCATTGTATTATTAGAAGAGAACTTTCTATGGAACGGTCTTGCAGGGAGATGTAGCTGGCAGGCACAATGCTCTACTTCATCAATTGATAAAGTAAACTTTGGTTCAAAACGTAGAATTGCTCTATTATGCTCGTAAAAGCCTCTTAAAATGTGTAGTTAACTATGGGTTCATTAAAAAGGAACTATCATTTTCCTTAGGTATCTAAAGTAAATAGGTGATAACTACAGTATTATAAAATTCTTTTGAACATATGGTATAACTGGTGGTTGATCGCTGCTCATACCATTAGGGTTTCCTCGTTCATAAAAATCTTGCAGAAGAGATACTGCTTCTGACGCCATTATACCTCCAACATTTGAAAACCTTTGATCCAGAGTTCCCATTACAGCTAGAGAAACAAGAAAAAAGTTGGAAATTCATAAATCGGGCAGACACTTGAAAGGGGGAACATAGATGAAATTTCTGTGGAAACCAGCCAATATTTCTAATGAGATTGCATTTTTACCTAGCTCGTCAGCTTGAAACCTGAGACAGATTCCATTTGCAAGACATGTCCAAATATCATGCTAGAGATAATTTGGCAGACTAAAATTGACAAAGCAATTTGCAAAAGAAAGGTATCATTCAAGCAAACACAAATTTGCCAGTAGGAGAATATGTTTAGTTTAGGAAGTTTACATTTTGTTCTTAATAATATCAATTCAAAGAAATGTCTGTAGTCCAGGAAAATCATGCAAGCAAATTATCTATGAACTGTACCATTTGATTCAATTGACAGTAACTAGGCATTGACCTTGGCAAAATTCTTGCATCAAATATAAAAGGTGGCTTAAAATTTTTTACTTTCACGATGCATTTGGGCCGTTCTATATTTTCTCTTCGACATGGAACCTAATGTCCTTGGAGAACAAACAATATGCTGTAAATAGGGTGATACTTAGAGGCTTTTAATTTGGATGGGCATCTTCTCTTCAGAGAGATCTTGCAACAGTGATCTGATTGAGAGAACATTTGTGGATGACTTGTGTACTAGTACCAGCTAGGATGGGTTTCCATCAGCTACATCTTCTAAATATCGCATAGGAACCGTGCTCACTGTTATAACAGTCTCATTCTCTCTATCATGAAACTATGCAGTAATCTGGGCTAGTTATTGAGCTCCAGAGAGAGGAAATTGAGCAAGGTGGTCCTTTATCTGCAAGATGAGTCCCCTTGCTTGATGTTGTATTCAGAAAGGTAATGAGCTAGGTCATGTTTCCCACAATCCTTTTCACTCATAATCAGATTATTAAGAGAAGAATAACTATGTATTTCAAGCTCTAAAAGTAAGAGTTTTCATGGTTTATTTTTTTCCACTTAGCATTTTGTTTAGATGCATCTTGAGTACATCTCGTGCTTCTTATCCCCGTACTTGAGCTTCTTCTTTCAAAACTAATACTTCAACAGAAAGACAATGCCATAATCTACATTAGCTACTTCATGTACTGTTCAAATCACATTGAAACAGATCCTATTTCATTACGTTTTAAGTTTTATGTCAACAAAGTCTAAATAAAAAATTGATGAGTTCTGATCAAGCTTAGCAAACATGTAATGCTACATCATGCCAGCTTCAGACAGATGAAAAATCATACTGGAAAGACAAGCCATCCACCACGATTTAGCAAGCACTTGCCCTCATGTATGCAAGAAGATCAAGTACATTGCCCACGGCATATCAAAAAGCATAATTTGCTCATTGTTAAAAAAATAATACTTCTCTGAAGATACTATATTTCCCAATTTAAACTTGATAACATTAAGACATCAAAGAATCTCATTGCAGTGAAAACAAGTGAGGAAGAAGAGATGAAGAAAAAAAGGGCAAAGGGAAAAGGACAAAACTAACTAATGTTAGCTTAACTTGTAGCGCTTCCCAGAACTGTAAATTTTTTAGGGGAAATTAAAAAAAGAAAAATGTTCAACCAGTCACAAAGATTTTAAGAAAAAGAAATAAAGCAAGGATAGAAAGAATTAATATAAACTCGACTACTTGACACTTCGGGAAATTCCACTTTCTTCCATTTAGACTAGGAAAAGGACAGAAAAGATGGATAATTAGTTCCATAAACATTTTCTATTTTCATGGTTGTGCGTTGCAATATTCAAGGTGCGACAGCAAACAGAATCACTATGAAACTGCATTGATCAATAATCAACATAAGGAATCATAAACCTCCAGTAAGCTTGAGTTGTCAATTGTCATAGGTCACAATTTCAAAGTGGAGCTAAGTAGATACAAAATCAGCAACAAAAGCAAGTTCAGGAACTGACCTAATGCATGCCTCGGAGGTACTTGAACGGCATCAAGACACAGCGTCCAAATTTATCATTTGTATGGCCATATACTTCCTTTGTACCTAAAAGTGGCTAAGAGTCATGTAATCATTTATGAACAAATAAATTTTAGGAAAGTTTAGTATTGTTTCAGTATGATCAACAGATGTACCAGTGATCCATAATGCTGCTGCATACATTATGCATGGTTCACGTGCCACATAAAAGGGAGCATGCTGAAAACTTTTCTGCAGCTTCTGCAGCTGAAAATCCTGTCCTCTGCTTTCAAGAAGAACATCAAGAACGTCCCTCTCAACATGTCTTGTTGGCTATGAAAGCGCAAGGAGAAAAATAAAGAAAGCATACCAAACTTAGGAGCTTTGCCAGAGAGAAAGTTGCTCTTAGTGTAGTTTCATAAAATTTAGGAAATGCATTTCATGAGAAATGTTTTCTCCAACAAGTTATCTGATTGAGTATATAAAGGATTGATCAAGGCATATTCTACATGATATCAACAAGTTTTGCTCGTTTGAAGTTGCTGATAATCTCACATGAAAAAGAGGCTTCTTATTGGATTGGCCACCTCCACCTTTTCTAACATTATTTTTTATATACCCCTATAGCTAGGTGCCTTTGTTTTTTCATTATGCTCCACAAGATACTAAAAGGGCTAAATATTTTTCACATCAACTATTTATTACTGTCCGCAAAGTCATTTATAGTAGTGTTTTGTTAACACATAACTATAAATGATTACAGGAATAGACTATTAGATAAGATATTATCTCTACCAGAAACCAGGCTTAAACTATTTGTGCAGACAGTGGCCATTGTGTGAAAAGAATGTGCCCAAGAAGCAGGTTCATACATCTTAAAAGGCAACACAATGTTCACATTTCATTTTTATACCTAATAAGTATACCAAAGTTTAGCTAACATATGGTCTAAGGAAACAATGTTAGGAACTTCACAAAAGCTGATAAAGACCATAATATGGTTCCAGACAGAGCACAATGGGAAATGAAATACGTAAAAAAATTGTGCACAACAAAGCCAGATAATTGCTAGTGTTAGCCGTAGTCATATTTTATGAAAGAATAATGGGAACAAAATCATTTACAGCCTCATAATGCATGGAAAATTCCCACTTATTAACATATTTGTTCTGATAATTCTTTAATTATCTATTAAAGTAATAGTCATGGGAGAAATATATAATGATCAACAATAACTACGAGTGGATAATACGAGGGTATCTATACAGAACAATAACAAAGTGCTGTTGGCTAAATTTATACAAGGTGGATAAACCATACATTTCATGTCTCATTAGTCTAGTTTCTTCCTGTTGCAATAACGTGCCCATCCTCAACAATCACACAGTTGTTCAATAAAAGAGTACAATCTGAAATCATTCACTAATTAAGACTGAAATATTAATCATCTTAATTAGAAAATAAAGTTGTATATCTGAAATGCACATGGTTACTGAAAATTAGTTTTTTACCCAACTGGAACTTTAAGAATGTCCAAAGCAAGCTTTGCCTTATATAAGAACAGCAAATAGTTTTGTTACTTGTTAGAAGAAAAAAAAATGAGTATAAGAGTCAGAAACTCTCAAGCATGCATACAAGCAATTCAAGAGGAAATCAGCATCATGTGTCCAACAGTAGAAATATTCAGTATCAATATGCAACTACTAATGGAATGAATGCATGTCTCACAGCTATATAATCAGGATCCTGTTGGTCCTGTATAATATACTGGTCACCAACTTCTAAACAATGATTATTACAACATATTCGTCCTGTATTTCAGATGCAAATCCCACCTAACTGTTAAATTATATGGCTCTAACCACACCAAAGCAGAATCAGCAACTAATTTGAGAAACTGCATGTTGCTCATTCCAGCATGTCCTATCATTGGTACCTTAGAAGCTTATCCTTCATTAAATAGGTTCACTCAAACATTCAAGAAGCATCCAGGAGTTTTAGCTTCTCGATCATTTTCCTTCATAAAAGCTATGGCACATAAGGATAAAAACAGAATCCTAAACTGTTGCAAAGGCCTCAGAATTCAGAATCGACAAGTAGTATCCCTTGCTTTTGTCTCTTCTCTACTGAATAACTTATGTAAACTCCGTGTTTCTCATGATTATTTCTTTTTCATATGCACAGTCCACAGAGATAAAGAAAATAACCACCTAACCAGTTATCCATGGGCACAACCGATGTTCATATTACTCTCACACTCCAAGTAAATTTGGTTTTCAATTCTCCCTAGTTGCCAAAGTCAAGAATTGGTTAAAGGACTCGACTGTCAAGCAACCTGTCCTGGCGGCTTGCCATCTCATTGCAACTTCTTCATTCCTCTATGGTTTTGCCTCCTCGAGCGCCCCATAAAACATAGAGACAGAGCCCTATCCCAGTGATCGAAGTTTCTCAGAATTCAATTCTCCTGGCAAACCTATCACCCGCTGCACATCCGTATGATAAGTACATACTACACATCCACATTTCCTAGACACCTCAAAAGCACCCAAATCCATCCATCCCTCCCAACCTACAGTGCCTGGATTGGCCCAGTTTTTTGCCTGAAAAAAGGGGACTGAACCAACCCATGTACACCCTACTTCACATTATTTCACTCTCCCTTGCTTGTTTTTCCTTTGAACCTAGACTTCACTTACTTCTTTCAATAAATTGCCACCTATGAAAACAACAAAAAAAAAGCTATACCTCCCGGAGATTGTCGCTGATTTTGCAGCGTGTAACGTCAATAACCTATGAGTTCATTATCAAGCATCCACAGACAAAACTTACGAAGAAACACTGATTCAGTGTCTCTCGAACAAATTCACCGCCACATTCTTCAAGTTCCCGCGCAATTGCAGAACTAAATGAATCGAATTCAAAATCCAGACACCACCTTAATAAAATCCGGATGTGCCAGCCTTACCTGATCTATAGCAAGCTGCATGAAGCCCAAAACCTCAGGAGAGAATCGTTCGCCCAAAGCTACGTCACCAATTTCCACGGCTTCGGTCGCCTTCGCTGGCCGGTCTCCGTCGCCGTCGTCGCCTTCGTTACTGGAACTTCTTCTTCTTCTTCTTCTGTTTGTCGCCTCTGTTGGCAAGTGGCGATCATCCATTTCGTCAGAGCTCACTGGTGGTGATGCTGAAAGTGGCATCGGTGGAGTTCGAAATTTGCCTTTATGGCGGAGAAAAAGGTAAGGAGCTTCCAGCGGGAAAATCAAAGAAAATGAACAAAGAGAAGAAAGAATTACAGAATTCTATTTGGGAATAAAGTTAACTAACTAGGGTTAATTAAAGGCGATTTGAACCAAAAAAGAAGAAGCCAAAGGTAATTGTTTATTTTAAGCAAGCGATCATCAAAGATATATTATATTTCTATTATGATGGAAGGGTGCCTCGACAAAGACGAAAACCAATATTGATATGCTGGTATTGTTTTCGCGAAAAATTTAGCATTGATAGTTTTCAAGAAGTCGTTCCTAGAGAAAAATGACATAACGGAGAAGCTATGTGATTTGATCAAGATTTCGAATAATATTTATGAGTCATGTTTCCAGTGATAGTTGAGTGATGGAAGAACAACAGAGATTGCTCCGTGATTTCATACTCGAGTATAAAATGTACGGATGCGGTTTGGATGGAGGGATGACTCTATGTGAAACTAAGCTCCGACAGGGGCCTCCACGGCCTCTCTATTTGATTTACAATGACAATAGCTTCACGGATGCATTTCTTATTTTAACGTGCCAGTGCCCGCACACTCTGCCCCCTATTTCCTGCTGCATCTTTGTCTTCCCCAGCGAGAGGAAACACCTCGTAGAAGCTTTACATCTTAAGGACTCCGAGGTCCGAGTGACCTTAGGATGAAACTTTTTGAGGTTTTGCTTAGGATTTGGAGGGATGAATCTACGTGAGACTAAGGTAGATGCACCGGAATTGAGATTACATTGAAAGGCAATAAATTTTGAAAAGAAAATACACGGAAATGAAAGTGGCAAGAAGCGAAGGTGCAAGTAAAGAAAAAGTAAAAAATGAAAAAACAAAGATTAGATAAAACTCACGGAGAGTATTCTTGTGTGCGTGCGTCACTCTCTTCTATTACGCCTTCGTCTTCTATACTCCAATGGAAGTTGTATCTTCTCTGCCAATTTTACCTCCACCGGCATCAAATGCACGTCCCGCGTTGATAAACGGCACGATAACTTCCCACTTCTTTTACATGTTCTGACCAAATCTTCATCCATCAGGACCCCTCTCCATGCTTGCATGCTTCCCACACGTAAGAGCGTGCGATCTTCTTCTTCTTGTTTGCCCAAGCCTCCTCGTGTAACTCTCCAGTCACATCCTTTGCATGCTTTCCTTGAGAGCTCTCTGCAGGGCCAATCATTTCCATCGCTGTAGCTAGCAAAGTTAACACTAATTAAAATGGACACATAAAATACCTGAACAGAAACATACGGGTAACAGTGGGTACTAACAGCGCGTTACAAGTTTTCTTGAGAATAGAGAACAAGAAGAATAAGACAAAAAGAAGGCATTGAAATCTAGATCAGCTGAGTTCACTTACCTGCGAATTGGTTCCTTAGCAAGTTTCCATCATTCTAACAACAAAAGCTGCAAGCCAACACCACCATGCTCATATTTGCTGGTCGAACTGGAAGTCAACATAGTCTCAGTTCGAATCCCTTGAGTGAGAATAAGCTTATGATTTCCCTTTGTGCCTATTTGACTCTGTTTCTCAGTATTCATTTGACAATCTTGCAAGTCTTTCTGTAAATCTATTTCGATCGAACTATTTTCGTTCACGACTGAACTCTCGGCTTCCGAATCTGTTGATTCCTGAACAATCTCGTAGAGTAAGGCTGGATCTATTAGCTGATTATCTTGAAGCACGATCTTTACACCTTCCTCTAGATGCTTGCATATTATTCGGAATCCCCACTTTTTCACCACTCTACTCGACACTTCAAGGCTAAATAGTACATAATTCCCATAAATTTGACCAAAATCAACTGCTCCCCATAGCTTAGATGGTGTCATATACTCAAGCCAGATATGATCCGAATCCAACGTATAGTGAGAAAACCTAGGGCTATTCTGCCTTTCGCCATTAACATGTGATACAAGCTCAAACGAGATTTCCTCCTTTTGTTCATCGTCACCAACAACAACACACAGAGCCAATCCAAGGAACTTGTTATACAAGTCCTCTGAAGCCATGAAAGATATGGAACCCTCTTTAGCAGGCAGGACCCACTCTGGCATCTCTCCTCTAGGGAGAATAGTTACGAAATCAGGATGAATCTGTTATAAAGAGAGACCGTTAGAAAGTATTCAAGTTTATTATTAGTACCCAAATAAAAGAATCCAAATTGAGTTTAGCAAATAATCTTAGTAAATTCCACTTCGAACTAAGCTCTATAAATGAGTAGAGATCCATCTCCTTGCTTGCGTTAACACACAAGTCTCATGACAGAAATCATTCCCATGAAACTGCGGTAACCAACTCCATTACATGCATATATGTGCAAAATCACTTTATATTTGTTTGCTTTTCTGAAGCCTCCATTTTTGCAATTTCTGCTATTGCAATATACAAGCACACATTGAATCCAGCATATACTCTACATCGATGTGTGTGCGTGTGAGTGTGTGTATGTGTGAGAGAGAGAGAGAGTCTAACCGGGTCAAGTGAATAAATATCAGCCGTGGTCAACCATCTATGGACAAAATCTTGAAATGAAGGTAAATCTCCAGTTCTTGGCAGAGATTCGCAACCCTCCGCATAAAGATTATGCAATAATGGTGGAAGCCCGGGAATCTCTTGTAATTGATGGCAATTTGTAACTATCAATTCGATCAACTGATCACGCTTATTGATGGATGTAGGAAGGCTAATAATATTGTTACCCGATAGAACTATTTGCCTCAATAAGGGAAAACAGGAAAGATTCTCAAGAAACTCTACTTCAGACAGATTACATCCCGCAAGGTCTAACCAGAGTAAATTTGGAAGTCCGGTCTTCATGCACGGATCAGTTGAATCCTCATACTTTGGAAACCCAATTAAATTTGTGCAACACTCAACTTGCAAGCTGTTAAGGTTTTGTAACTCGTAAATGCTGGACGGAAGACTTACCAGGTTCTTGCAATTATATAAGAACATTTCCTCCAAAGAGACAAAATTTTTTATTGATGCAGGAAGTCCTTTAATCGCAGTCCCTCCTAAAGAAAGCTCTTTCAAGCCTTCAAGTTTATGTGGAATATCAGGGAACTTTTCAAATCTTGTGCAATCACGAAGATTAAGAGCTCGGAGATTTTTTGACTTGAGCACATTTGGAAAAACACTAAGTTTAGAGCACCCCTTTAAATTCAACACCTGTAATACGTCATGATACGCGATCGACTGGTGTGCTTCTACCAAGTTTTTGCAATTCAAGAGATTCAATTCCTCGAGATTTGGAGTACATGAGAGGTCGGGCATACTAACCAGCGACTCGCAGTCGCTCAAGTTAATGTACTTCAATTGTTGGAAGTCCTGCAAATACAACGAACCAACTTCAATAAACATTTTGAAAAGGCAAAAAAGGGTATTCGTACGATACCTTCACCACTTTTAAGGATTTTCATCCTTAGGCTACTTGGAACCTACTATTCAAGTTTCTGAGTAAATTTCTTAACCTATTAATTAACTTGTCATTCAAAGTCATTATAAACTGATTTCGTGTAAATATATGTCGTATTGCAAAATTACTGAACACTTTATATACATGGTAAAGCTTGTGCGAGGTAACGTCATGTTGCACGCTCACGATATAGCTTTGGCCCAGCAATTTAGTTTCCATGATCACTTTTCAAAGGTCACTCTTATCATTTTACAGTTTGGATATTATTTAAAAGAAGTGATTAATATATAGATACACAATATAAAAATATTCACAATTAAAATTACGTTAGACAATCATTAAAAAAAATTTGAGTTAGTGTTGATTTACTCCAAATTAATTTTCATCTCACAAAAAATCCCAAATTGATACCACCATTACACATTTACCCTAAAGTAATTTTTATCTCACAAAAAATCCCAAACTGGTATACATGACCTAAATTTACCATCTGTTAGCAGACAAAAATTAATTTTGGATAAAATTACAACACAGATCATGCCATGTGGCAATTACAAAAGTAAAGTAAAGTGTCATGTGACGAGCATGCAAATGTGGGCTACATGAAAAAAATATGCCACGTGTCATGCCATGTGGCAACCATAGAAGCAAAGTGAAGTGTCATATGACAAGCATTCGAATGCGGGCCCCTTGAAAAAACTATGCCACATGTGATGCAACGTGGAATTCACATAAGCAAAGTGAAATGTCACGTGGCAAGTACAGGAGCGAATACTTTGTCAGTTTTCACTTTGACTCTATATAATAGATGAATGTCGAGAATATAAATTCTATCACAATGAGATTTCCCGAAAATTAATAAAATTTTAAAATTTCTTCAAGTTTTGCAAAGAAGATGAAGCCAACTTTGAAAATCATTCGGAAGACTAAAAAAATTTCATATATTCAATTCATATCTAGCTCTGGCTTTCTTTTAAGAAGCTTGTGGTAAGCCCCTATTTGATCACTTATATCGAATAAGTTGTGCAAGCATTACACGCCATAAGTGGCAAAATTTCTAATGAATATTTTATTACGTCTACTTAGAAAAACTGCTCCTTAAGAACTGATTTAGGCACTCAACAATGCCTTATTTTACAGCATGGTGTATTAAAACCTTCGACTGAGCAAATTTTATTGATGTAGGACAAATCTGGCCGTTTATGTACGTGCATTGAGTAAGGCCTCATCACATGGTGACTACGTGGCCTCTACTTCTTTGGTGTTTTTGTTTTTAGATACATGTCAACGGGTTAGTTCGTCACACTTTTATTTGATCAATTATTCAATTTTCAGTAGACAACTGACATAGAATTAGCTTACACAGCTTACACTAGCAGATTTGCATTTTGAATCTCTTCACTGGGTAGATTTGATTCGATGTTGGAATATTAGTTAGAGATATTAGGTTCATAAAGTATTTGAACTTCGTCTATAGAAGTAAAGATGACCTCCTCCTTTTATGAGATTTCAATTTTCCCCCTCCATCAATTATCCTCAATTACTTATTTTATAGGTATTATACCCGTGGACCGATACATGAAATTGGACATTTCACCTCTTACATATTTCAACATTAGTGTTTGAAACTTTTAATGATGCAATGACCTTCATAAAAAAGTTTTAAATTCTGAACATTCTCTTTCCACATATATTTATAAAATTTCTTTGTATTGTGTATCTTATCAACAAAATGTTTCCATTGAATATTCTAATAAAGTTGTTTCGAGTTTTTTTTTTCAAATGCAATTTTTTGCCGCATATTATTTCTAAAGCAAGTTGTTAAAGTCATTACCGAAAAAAAATAGAGAGGTGGTTTCTAAAACAGAGGAACACCACTTTCTTTTGTGTACTAGTACATATAATACGTGTATGCATTTCCAAATGAAGTAGATAATAAAAGGGTCTATGTAGATAAATGCTCACCTTAAATTGTTGCGGCACCACTGTGATACTGCTCTTGATCATATGAAGTCCTATTAATTTCTTTGGACCAGAGGAAAATTCTGGAATCCAGGGAGCACATCCAGCCCATTGAAACCATCTAAGCTCATTAGGAAGATATATAGGACCTTGGAAAGAATTATGCACATTGCGCACAATGAGTACTCTCAACCTTCTCATTTTTGTGAAAGCATTAGGACCGATACATATCTCTTTCAGCTCAGGTGGCTCCAACACTATGGCTTTTATAGCACAATCTGCCTGTATATACAAGACCATATAGGTTATGCATATATAGTAAATAGACTAAAAGATGAGGAGAAGAATTTTGATTGTATTTGCAAGCCTTACAATGTCGTGCGACAAAACATCCAGAACATCACCATGTAGCCACAGCCTACTGCGTCTGCTGGGATCATCTCGACATTCTTGATTCACAATATCCATACCCATCACTTGAACCAAGTCATGCAGTTGTAGGATTCCGCGCTCAATGCTTATCAAGGACCTCTCAATGAGAATTTCTAATCCTATAGTTGTCTCAAAATCACAACTGTCGAGCACTTTCTCTGTGTATTTACTATCCCACCCCTTAAAGAAGCAGGCTATGTGGAGAAAAATCTCCCTCTCATTTTCCTCTAGTCCATCATAACTTATTTTGAGCACATCATTAATGGTTTTGTTAGGAATCCTAGAAAGCTTCTTCAGTGTACTTTCCCATTCATGTTCTTTTCTACCACATAAGAAGGAACCCAGGACCTCAAGTGCTAAAGGAAGGCCTTTAGCATGATTCAGAACACTATTCACTAAATCTGTCCTGATTTTTAATTTTTGATGTGTTAGAAAAGCATGCTTACTAAGCAGCTCATGAGCTTCACTGTCATCCAATGCTTGAACTTCATACACATGATCTTGATCTATGCCATGACAAGTTAGCAAATGTTTATCTCTTGTAGTAACGATGATCCTACTCCCATTACCAAACCAATTGCCTTCTCCTGCTAAAGCATTTAACTGGCGCGAGTCATCCACATCATCAAGGATGAGGAGAACTTTTTTGCGACAAAGTCTATCTCGTACTAGATTAATACCTCCATGGACATTGGACAATACTAATCTTTTCGGCAATAATACGTCGGATAGTATTTTTTTTTGCAAACTAACTAAATCCTTGCAATCTTTTGAAGTTTCTCGAACATCTGCCAAAAAGCACGATCCCTGGAATTGTCTATGAATAGCATTGTAAAGGGCTTTTGCTAAAGCTGTCTTCCCTATGCCTCCCTGTCCCCATAATCCCACCATGAGAACACCATCATTAGACTCAAGGTTTAACATTGATTTTAGCTTAACCACTTGGGAATCTATCCCAACTGGATGCTTAGCAACATGCAAAGGTGTTCGGTCTAGGTGAGTGGAGATCTCCGTCACAATTGTTTGTATAAGCTTTGACTCATCTCTGACAAAAATGGAAAAATAAGTTGTGGCATGTTAGCAATTTGAATAAGCAAATAACGGGCAATCATGAGTCAACAATGACAAAGCAGTGCATCACATTTTCACATAATCACAGCATACCACCGAGTCTAATTAGAACTCCAAGAGCTCCACAACAATCAAAACAAGTTCAGGTTCAACTTAATCATCCAAGTGATTTATGTTCTTTTGATTTATACATGATTTGAACCGTTATATGAGATTTATTTATACACTAAATCAAAAGGAGCTATTTAGGACCTTGAACGGTGGTAAGATTTCAATTCGAAAACTATTAAAATACCCTGAAGCACAATGTCATTGCCGATGAAGTTCTCTTGTCAATTTTTATTACGGGAAAAAGCAACGTGTCTATTCTTTGGTTAGCCAAAAATGCAACCAGTAATGAGTTTATGACTTGGTTGACTAAAATTGAAAATCTGTAGAACTCAATAGACCAAAATGAAACGTGAAGAACTCAGATAGCCCACACAAAACGTTTAGAACTTTTATTATACTTTGAGGAGGGCAACAAGGATCCAAAAAGAGGAGCAATACACCTTGCCCGAATGAAACAGGGCTTAGTAAAAGCCAAAGGCAAAATTCTATTCTTCCATGCCCAAAAGTAGGGGTTTTTTTTTTTTGTGCAAGTGAATTTTAGTAAGTGTTGGTAAGTGTCGAAAAACTGTTAGTGAAGAAAAGATCAGTGACTTTTTCTTTCTCGTAACATGTAAGTAACTTACGAACAATTTTATGAAATCACCTACATTTTTCATAATTTGCAAATTACCAATTTTGTACTAACTTACCAAACTTGATTTGCATAACTTATAGCTCGAACTTACTAACTTTTATATGAAATTACCAACATAAATTAGATTGACTTACCAACATTTGTCATATTAAATATTTACCTACTATTTTGGGTTACCACCTTTCGCTTGAGCGACTTATGTTCTTTTAGTTTCCCAACTTCGCTTGAGTTATCAACTCTCATTTGAGTTACTTACTAACTAATTTTAGAGATTACCAATCTTAATTAGAGTGACTTACAAACTTTTCTCCCATTAAGTTGTCAATTAATTTTGGATTGTCAATTCTCGTTTGAGTTACTTGCCAAGCTCATTTTACTTTAATTTATTAACCTTTCTTCTCTTTTGCCAAATTTTATTTTTCTTTTTTAACTAAGTCTCAGATTTACCAACTCTTATATGAAATTACTAACTTTAACTGAAGCCACTTAAGAATTTTCAGGACTCTTGAGATGAAGTACTTATACGTATACTTACAATCATATGTGTATAGATTTATTTGTTTATTTTTACAAACAATCTCTATACTTGTAAAAATTATCTTCTTACACAAAATATGGACTCCACTCCACTTACCCATCTTTCAAATGCCACCCAGACAAGCTACCAGCATCATAAAGGGCTTTCTTCCATCTCTTCACTTCCTCTGAATCCTTCCCGAACTTGGATTCATGCTTAAGCATAGCTTCTCTGTACTTCTCTCTTGGTGTTCTCACTTCTTTGGGATCCACTTTGTAAAACACCGGAAATACCATGAGATCTCTTTCTTCCTTGCAGTCCATGATTTTTGCCACCTCTTCCAAACACCACCACGAGGAAGCGTAATCCTCGGAGAAAACAATGATCGCGATATGCGATTCCTCGATTGCCTTCATAAGCGCCGGCGTTATTTGCTCTCCTTTCCTGAGCTCCTCATTATCAACATAAGTGTAGATTCCATTCTGGTCAAGAGCTGTGTAGAGATGACCAAGAAAGTTGTTCCGGACATCCTCGCCTCTGAAACTCAAGAAGACATCGTAAATTTTTTTGGGTATCGAGGGAGAAGCCATTAGATGATGGAGTTCAACAATCGGCGACGACCATTAGTGTCACGCCCCGAACCCCAACGAGCTCGCGACACCCCTTTGACGGTCGTATTGAACGCAGCAGGTCCGGCGGCGGGGTGAGCGGCTGGGTTCACGGTGGTGAGAAGCAGCAGCAGCAGTGAGTGGCAGGGACCTCGCCGGAACAGCAGCAGGTCCGGCCGCGGCTGGGCAGCGACGGCGAGCGGCTGGGGGGAAACAGAAGCAGCCACGTCGAAGGCTGGACGGGTGACGAGCGGTGACTTGGACGGAACAGAAGCAGCCACGTCGCCGGGACAGCAGCAGCTCCGGCGTTCGAGCGGCGGCGAGCGGCGGTGACGGTCGGAGCAGGGACAGAGAGAGAGAACAGAGGAAGGGGAGGGGAGTGGTGGCCGGAATAGGGGTGCAGCGGCCACAGTGGCGCCGGCGGCAGCAGGGGCGGCGACCAGGCGGAAAAGGGGGAGCCGGGTGGTGGTGGCGAGCCGGCGAGGGCGGCGGCGGCCGAGACGGCGGCGCGCGGCGATGGCTGGCGAGGCGGAGCAGGGGGGGTAAGCCAGAACAGGGGAAGGGGGGGTAAGCCAGAACAGGGGAAGGGGGGATCGCGGCGGCAATGGGGGAGCCAGCGGCGGTCGGCGACGGCACGGCGGCTGGGTGGACGACGTGCGGTGGCCGGAAGAGCTGCGGCGACACGGCGGCTGGGCGTCGGGCCGGACGCACGCGCGCGGAGGAGGGAGGGGAAAACTCGATGAGGCAAAACAGAGGGGAGGGGTGACGGTCACGGCGGCTCCAGCTGGGGCGAGCGGCCGGACGGCGGCTCGGGCGGACAACGCGCGGCGGTTGGGCGGTGGCCGGAGAGCTGCGCGGAGGTGGGGAGGGAAGGACGATCGTGACAGGGGGGAAATGAGCGGGAGAGAGAGAGAGAGAGAGGGGGAAGGACGATCGTGACAGGGGGGGAAATGAGCGGGGGAGAGAGAAGCAAAAAGTCAAATAAAGCACTCAAGTGCGATCCAACGGCCACAAAACGATCTCGCGAGCTTGATCCAACGGCCACGAAAATCCTAAATTAATAAATTAGGGAAAAGGATCAAAACACTAACTAAAACACGTTACGAAAGAGGTCTACTAGTCTAAATTTACATCCGGTCCAAATTTCACTTTTCACTGCTCCCGGGCAATATCAACACTGGCCACAATAATATCGACACCGTCCAATTAAATTCGTCACGAAATTCCAAGAAATTCGACACCAAAGTTCGGACTTTAAATAATGGCTAAATTCGATCGAGTTCGATTCTAGCGAAATCTCTAATTTAAAAATAACTCCAGAGTGATAAGTTTCGGACGAGATTTTACTATAAGCACACCAACAAAATACACGTTTTATAAATTCCAAAAATGAATCGAAATTTGAAATGTCACGATTAGCTTAAGATTTGGTACAGCGTTTTCAGATAGTTCGTTCACCATTTGATCTTCTTGTGGATTTATTCTTAGACCGGAGCAGAGAGATGCGCGGCTTTTTTAGGGTAGGGTCAACAAATAATAACATTAGAACTTTGGAAAGTGATGTTGCTTGAGGATGGACCAAGTTATTTAATAGGTGTGAACACATGGACTTATTTTCACAGAGAACATATCACGGCGTTTATTCAGATTGGCTGATTGACACAAGTTTCTTTGTTCGATGTTTACTTTATTGTTAAAGTGTTGATAAACTTGAGCGGTAATAAAGCCAAATGGCCGACAAAGTAGTGAATATTGTAGATCACAATGCACAAACAGACAAACAACTTTAGAGTGGTGGATTCTCGTGACGTAGGTTATAGGCTCACTAATAAAAATAAAAATAAAACTTTGTCGGCTTCCTTGACATGGCATCCCAACCTCCGAGTTGTTGTTTCTTCTTTGCTAAATACTAATTAATACATGACTACTCGAAAGATATATAGTTTTATGCGTAATTAATATATCCAAAAATAATAATATCAGATCTATTAATGATAGCAGAACTTTGGAAAAACTTGGTGCTTAAGTATGGACCAAGATATCTAATGGGTATGAACAAATGGACTTATTTTCACTTAAGACCATATACCATGGCGTTATTCAAGTTGTCTTATTGAAACAAAGTTTCTTTATTTGATGTTGAATATATTCATAAATTATTGATGAGTATGACATTCAACATAAGATAAATTTTTAATTAATGTGCCGGCCTTGAGGGAAGATAAAATTTTAATTAATGTGCCGGCCTCGAGGGAATGACTTTCATCTGTTAAGTCTTCGTTTTTCTTTTTCTCACATAGAAAATGAAGTATTGCCTTTCATTAGGTTAGCTTTTATCATAGGCTCACTAATAAGGCAAACTTTGCTAGCTTACACAAAACAGCGTTCCGACTTCTGAGTAGCTATTTCCTTTTTGCTAAATAATAATTTAACGCATGACTACTCAAGAAATATATAATTATATATGCAAAATTTAAGTATATCATAGCTAAGTGATATGATTTACCTTCAATCAGAGGTGAAGGTTATTATCTTGGCTAGCTTTATGTATGCAGACTCTTATATGGTAAGTTTGTGAGTGATGATCGATGTACCTCTATATTAGTGGACCGGACACTAATCAATTAATTAATTTCTTGTCATTAACAAATGAAAGGTGCTATGAAATCTGTGGTGGCACCATGTGCACCAAGACTGTTGGTTTGACGGTCAAAGATTTTGTGTATCGAACCCAATAATCATTTTTTAATCAAGAGCCACTTGTGTGTTCTCTTCTAGTCTTTATTGTGAAGAATCTCTTAATATTGTATTTAGTGCGTACATGTGATTTGGCTTGGATTTACTCCACCTCGTGTAACTTGGTCAATGACGCACCATTGGACCGACAAAATTGGGAAAAAAAAAAGATGGATCTAGAAAATCATGTGTGTATAAACAAAAAAAACGTTAGCCTCCTTGGTATATAGGATATTCGGATATTCATGAGAAATTAGACAAATAGTATTTGAACTGTGTTATAATAGCATTTAAACTACTCATCTATTTTATACTTAGATAAATCTTTTCCTACAAAAATTCAAGGATTTTTATTAAAAGCTCTCATAATGGAAAATATGGCTCATGGTAGTAGTCATGAATTGAGTAGTTTCGTTGATACATACATGTTACTAGAAAAACAAAATTGTATACATATTAGTGCATTATCCCAGTAGTAAAATGATATTTTTAACGAAAGCAAATCATTATCGATGCCAGAATAGATTGTAGTCATTACATCTACGGCTCGAACTTGAGCAAGTGAAGTCACGATAACAACGACAAGAAGTTGTTTTGTGTGAGTATACACCCAGGGGAGGGAGAGAGAGAGGGTGGGAGGGAGAGAGAGAGAGAGATATATATATATATTACACTGAAGTCATTGGATTTTAACTTTTTATATTCATTAAAAGAGGTTTAACCCTCTTTCACAATTTTTATAATCATAACTACTCTTGAGGCTCATAAAACGTTCAGTAACCCCATGAACCAAATAAATCTAGGCCTTTGACTTTGTGCATTGGTAGTCTGGTAGTCCTAACCTATAGTAGCTTTAGACCTCTTAAACGGGTGGGTCGGATCAGGTCATAAATAGTCCGACTCAAATTGATCAATTAACCCATTTATTTGTAATGTAAATATCTCGACCCATACCCGACCCGACTCATACCCAACCCATACCTAACCCGACTTGACCCATATTACTAAAACACTTCTATATTGAACTCAATATAGGAAAACTTGTTTCTTATGATTTTTTTAAAAATTATACTACTAAGACATTTTCATACAACACAAAGGTAGTAAACAATTTTTATAATTTTTTTTTAAACTGAGGTTCTGTTTGTTTCGTGAAAAATGCAACATTTTTATAAAATATTTTCCATGAAGTCATTTTCCAAGAAAATAAAAAAAAATTTCAATGTTTGGCTAAAACCTGAAAATGAACTAGAAAATATTTTCCGACGTTTGGTATATAAAATTTGATTTGATTTTACTTCATGCAATCATTTTAATGATTTTCATATTTTTTATTTTTTAAAATCGAATTTTAATTTTTTTAATTTTTTGTTTTTTTATTTCCTTTATTTTTGGCCGGTGGTCGGCTACAGTAACGGCCGGCCACCGGCCATAGGCGAGGACGAGCTCGCTAGAGGTTGATGAAGCTCAAGCTCGCTGACCATAGGCAAGCCTCGAGCTCGCTTGATTCCGGCGAGCCGAGCCGAGCCAAGCCGACCTTGGGCGAGCTCGACCTCGCGCGAGGCCTCGCTAGCCTCCAACGAGGTCGTCCTTCCGCTGTGGTCGGTGGCCGATCGCCGTGGCTGGCCACTGGCCGAGAATAAAGAAAAAAGAAAGAAAAGAAAAGAAAAGAAAAAATAAAAATAAAAGAAAAAGAGAAAAAAATAAAAATAAAGATAATTTTGATTTTTAAAAAAATATATTTTTATAAAAAGGGGGAAAGTGTTTGTGGGTTTAGTGGGTGGGTTGGAAATAGGTTCCACACTCAACCCATTAAGACCTATTTATGATAGACTTAAAACTTTAAGACCCATTTAAGATGGACTCTTCAAAGTTGTAGTGACCCATATATGATCCATTTATTTTTTAAATAGGTCATGTATGGGTTTAAGACCCATTTAACAGGTCTAAGTAGCTTGCATGCAATAGCTCAATGGCTTTTACGACAATATGCTTGAGAAAAAAAACTTGATATATATTGAGATTTTAGATCTTATTATCCGGTGAAAAGTGACCATGGGATTTATCGACATGAGTGGTTGACATTGATATTTTCTACTATATGGTTTATGTTAAGATGCATATTATGCGGTGAATTAACTTATGGAGAATATATGGAGTATTCATGTTATTTGAGAATATCCGTTGGTATGACTTCACGATCCGTATAATCAATACATTTTTATAAAATTGCATTTTCGTTACTTGATGTCATCGAAATAATGA